CCATCCAGGGAGTTATCAGGTGGTTTTTGGTGCATTGGGGTGACTTAGAGGCTTGGATGCGGAAAATCCAGGATGCTGCAGGCTGGTGGTCTGGAATTTGCCTTGGCTTTTGGCTGGCTTTCCACCCTTTACCCCTTGACCAAGCCCTAAACGCTCACAGACAAACCCCCTCACCCTCCGACCCACACACACTGCCCGAAGCCCCAAAGTCAACCCCAACCCCACCCAAAACTCGCCCGAGACAAAGCCGGCATCCTTTCCAAACCAATCCCCTGCCCCAATTGCAGCGAAACAGCCGAAACACACCTCGAAACCCACCCTAACCCACCAAGCGAAGTATAGCCAGCTGCGTGACTCTCAGGTTCAAGTCACAACGTGGAGTGGCGCGTGAGGGTCTCTGATGGTTTGCGCCCGGAGCCACGGGCTGGCTTTGGCTGTAGAGCAGCGACTCAAGGCTTAGTTGGGTATGCGCGTGGGGATTCAATGCCCACCACTTGAGAGGTGGTTCCCTGTTGAAATTCGCCATTTGGTACCCTCTTGGAGTTATGAACAGGGAAAGGAAGCCACCCGCTTTCAGAGACCACCATTTTGCGACACACAAAGTTTGGACATGGTGAGGTTTCCTCAGGAACGAAACGGGGATGGGAATTGTTTGCCCTATTTGGCACCCAGTCACAAACCTTTCTGGGGATTTCATTCTGTCCATCTCCGAGCATGCGGCCAATCAAGAGGCTTGACACTTGAAACCCGGCTTTCAAGGCTCCCGGAGAATTTGGTTGATTGGACGGGCCCCTGCGCCGCTCAGCGACTGGTTGGTTTTCCAGGCATGTTGAGTCAGGCCTTCGTGGACACATAGACACCAGCACTGACATGGAACACCAACACCATGTTAATTTGTGGAGTATCCATTGGGCTTGGGTTCTTTCGACCATAGGCTTAGGATGTGAACCATAGGCTTGGGATGTCGTCAGGTTGGTCGCCGTGGTCCATCACGTCCGCACCTGCGCCGTTGGCACCTCCCATGCCCAAACTCACCGAGCGCGGCAGCCCAGCGCTGCGTCCATGGGGCGCAAGCTTGACAGGGCTCCTGAAAAGATACATTTTGCCCATTTGAAACATGGCTTGGTCCACCAGAATAAAGGGAAACCACCATTTACAAGGCAATGTTCAGGTGTATAATGTAAGGATCCCTATTTGAGGGGTTCTCATCCTTGGTGGGTTGGGGGTTTGCTCTGTAAACGAACCATTGGAGGGTAACCTTTGAGGATGTTACATTCAGATGGAGTCTCTGGCTGGTTGGTTGAACTTGAGTGTCCTCAGTCTGTGAGACAGATGTCAATAGATGGCCGACATGGCAGTTGCGGCTCGCTCCCCAGTCCAATTTGGATTACTCAATGACAGCGAGCCAATGCTGGAGAGAAGAGAAAAGTCGATGTTCCGTCTATTTTTGGACTTGTGGGGGGGGGGGGGGGGGGGGGGGTCAAAACCTTTGCCGACCAATAACTGGTCTGAGTCTAATGTGAGATGGGCCCTCAAGTTCCGAACCGTTTTGGATCTCGTCCCGCAGGCCGGTGCGGCTGATCTTCAACCGCCAGGAGCCGACCATTTGCCGTGTTGCCCGGGCCTGAACCTGCGAAGGTCTTGGATCTCACATGTGTTTCACGAACATAGAAATGAGCAAGAAGCCCCTGTTTCAACGGCAAGTCGCTTTTGTGCACTGCGTTGTTGGGAGACTGCCTGATTCTTGAAGCATGGATGTAGAACAACACATCATGTCGCTCGCAAAAAGTGTTCAGCGCTGCAAACTGTGGGTTGAATACAGTGCCAAGCTGTGTGCAGTTGCTCATGTTCAGAAGCTGTTCAAACCGCATGGAGGCTGACGACTTGCGCCTGACACCAAACAATGCTAGAGCTTCCAATCTTCCAAAGAATGGCAGGGTGCTTAGACCAAAGTGTAGATTGCTGTTTGCCGCAGTCAAGCTCGAAAAAATATCGCCGTATGTTGCTTCTCTTCATTGCAGGTCAACTGACTGAAAACACCAAAGCCGCGCTGTTTCCAGCACCTCACCTGGCCAGAAATCCATAAATCGATTCGGGATGGCCCTGTGCCTGGAAGACGCGTTGCCGCTGCTCGTTTTGTTTTGGCCGAAGCCGGATCTTCCGCTGGCGGCGCTGGGGCTGGTGGCTGCCTGCGCCTCCTGGAAGGTCCAGTGGCACGCCAGGAGAGGTGGCGCCACTCGGCATGCCTCGGAGATCTCTCGCAGCTTTGGTTCGCCCACATGGTTTTAAGGGATTCGCAACGGGGTGCGCAAGATGGGGCTGAAACAAGCGGAAACCCGTGAGGAAGGTTCCTTTGGGGATTCCAAATTTCCAGCTTGTGAATTGCAGCAAGAGTGTAAGCTGGCCAACGTGACTAAGGTGCCCCTGGGGTTTTGAAGCGCTGTTCGCCTCATCCCTTCGGCAAGTCGAAACCAACCCATTGGTCACTATTCAAATCCAGGAAATCATGCACAGGCTGTACTTCTCTAGAGTTTATGGTATATATGCAGCATGACTACATCATTCCTCATTCCGAGTCGCTGAGCTCAGAAGAGCCCTGTCGTCAGATGTGCCCAGCGCATCGATGGTACATATCACTTCGATGAGAACCAGCTCCATTCAGGGCTTTCTGATATAGATGCCACACTGAGGTAGTTTTCGCTACCTTGCTGGGCCCGCTGCTTTTTGCCGCCTACACACCTGAACTCAGCGCGGGCAATCCAGGCTTGTGCTTGTGGCTGCATAGGTTCGATACCCAATGTTTGGCTACGTTCATTGCCCGACCTAGTTGTTTGCTGTGCATCCTGCATTTGGGTGTGGGTCAAAATTAATCCACCAGGGGACCACATGTTGCCACTTACCAGGGTTCCATTTTGGGTACTTTTTGTTTGACCCACAGCCATTCTATTCAAACACCTTCACTGCAGACTTTTGCCATGGTCCGTTTGAAGGGAGTCAACTACGCCTGTGGATCGAGGTGGCTGCTGTCTTCCGGTCAAGCCCTCCTGAGCCTGCTGCCTGGTGCAGCGAGGTGCTTAGCTTGCCGTAGGCCACATGGCTGTGGGTCAAAACCGATGGTAGGTGCACCACCCATTTTTGCTCGATTTTAGTGGGATTGGGATGTTCACTGGGGGCACGGGCTTTTGACCCATGGCCACATAACGCAGAACGTTCGAGCAGTGCCCAAGTCTCTGAGGGGCATTTGCAGTTGTGGTCCAACCATATCGAGAGGAATATGGAAAGACTGATATGAATCATGAAGACCATGCCACGCAAATGGGATGACACGGTATATAGGGGGTGCATAGCTGTGGCTGCGGACATGCTGTGGTTTGCCAAACCGCCTGGAATATGGAATGCCAGTTTTGCTAGTCGTTGGCACAAGGGAACAATGATGTTGTGTCAGGCTGGGCTGTGCTGTGCTGTCTTGGTCTTTTATTTTTCTGTGACGTTTGTGTTTCTGTGGTTGTGTTCGGGTATGAGGTTGTGTGTGTGTGTGTCTCTTTGTGTTTGTGTATGTGTGCGCGTATTTGTGTCTGGGTCTGTGTCTCTGTCTCTGTGTTTCTGTTCTCTGTGTGTGTGTGTGTGTCTGTTTTGTGTGTATGCGTTGATTGTGCGTGTATGGTGAGTGTGTATGTGAGTGTAAGTGTGTGTGTGTGTGTGTCTGTGTGTTTGTGTTGTGTGCGTTGGGTGTGTGTGTGTGTGTGTATGTTGCGTGTGCTGTGCTTGAGTGTGTGGGTGTGGGTGTGTTGGTGTGTGTGTGTGTGTGTGTCTGTGTCTGTGTCTGTGTCTGTGTCTGTGTCTGTGTCTGCGTCTGTGTCTGTGTCTGTGTCTGTGTCTGTGTTAGGTTTGTGTTTGTGTTTGTGTTTGTGAGTGTGTTTGTGTTTGTGTTTGTGTGTTTGTGTGTGTGTGTGTCTGTGTGTCTGTGTGTCTGTGTCTCGGTGTCTGTGTGTCTGGGTCTCTGTGTCTGTGTGTCTGTGTGTCTGTGTGTGTGTGTTTTTGTGTTGTGCTTGTTGTGTGTGTGTGTTGTGCGTGTGTGTGGAGTTGTCTGCTCTGTGCGTGTGAGTGTGTGTGTGTGTGGAGTTGTCTGCTCTGTGTGTGTGTGTGCGTGAGTGTGTGAGTGTGTGAGTGTCAGTGTGTGAGTGTGTGACTGAGTGACTGTGTGACTGTGTGACTGTGTGACTGTGTGAGTGTGTGAGTGCATAAGTGCGTGAGTGCGTGAGTGTGTGAGTGTGTGAGTGTGTGTGTGTGTGCGCCGGCGTGCGTGCGTGCGTGCGTGCGTGCGTGCGTGCGTGCGTGCGTGCGTGCGTGCGTGCGTGCGTGCGTGCGTGCGTGCGTGCGTGCGTGCGTGCGTGCGTGCGTGCGTGCGTGCGTGCGTGCGTGCGTGCGTGCGTGCGTGCGTGCGTGCGTGCGTGCGTGCGTGCGTGCGTGCGTGCGTGCGTGGGTGGGTGGGTGGGTGGGTGGGTGGGTGGGTGGGTGGGTGTGTGTGTGTGTGCGTGTGTCTGTGTGTGTGTGGGTGTTCCTGTGTGTGTGTGTGAGTGGTTGTGTTTGTGTGTGTGTGTGTGTGCGTGTTCCTGTGTGTTTGTGTTTGTGTTTGTGTTGCATCAGTGGTTGCGTGTGTGCGCAATATGTTGGTGTTGGCGCACATGTGTTTGTGTGTTGGTGTTGCTGTGTGTGAGTGTGGATGCGTGCGTTTTCGTTCCACATTTGTCCAATCATTCTTGCTGATGTGCTTGTGTTTGGGCTTCTCCACGGCTCTGTCTGTGGTTGTGGTTGCTCTGGTGGTTAGTGGCCGTGAATTGCTGGTGAATGGCGAAGCTACCAGCCACGCTATCTTGTCAGACTGAAGGCTCTCTTTTGTTGGTTTCTGATCGCCTTGCAGCTTGCCAAACTGAGGCTGCTGCTGTCCTGGTGGCAACTTTGGTGGCCGCTTTGTGGATTCCTGGCCTTCCGTGGTATCCATGGTGCTGGCTCTTTCTGGCGGTCCAACAGTGCCTCGCTGAGGGAAAGCTTGTGTATTGTGCTGAACAATCTGCAAAATGCCATGGCTCCTTAGCACCTTCATTGGTCATCTCCGAACGTGCTTGTAAATAGGCCCGTAGGCAGCTGGAAAAGCAACATCACCATGCTGCAAGGTCTGTGCCTTGGCATCCAGGTATGTATCTTCTCAACATTTGGCTGGACTGATCCCGGAAGACAATCGTAGTTGTGATGTGACCTTCTGCTGCCTCAATATAAAGGAGTGCTCTTTTCATAGTGGAAGAAATTGCTGGAACAATGTTCCTTAGGAACAACGAGCCTGCGGAATGAATCCGAAGCGCCTTCTTCCCCTTTTGGTTGGTTCCCCACCAAAAGTTGTCAACCAAAAAAGAAATGGTTCCCCTTCCTACCAAGCGGATCGCTGGTTGCAACCGGATACTGTTGACTTAGAAAGTCTCGAGGGCTCGTTTTGAAACCCCTAAAAAAGAAAAATAAGTTCATTTCTAAAGGAACCACCTTACATTGGGAAGGGCCGGATTAATCAGAAGTTGACAATCCTACTGTGGATGGACGAAATCCTGCGAAACCAGTATTTGTTGGCATTGGCATGGGAATCCTCAGAAAAAAACCAGGGTTTCTTAGGTGCTGCGAAATGGATTTCGCAACCGTCCACCGTATTTTATCAGCCAAGCCGTCGAAGCCGACCGGTCGACGAGGTATTGCCACTGCTTCGCCTGCAGAAGCTACCGACACTGCTTCAGCCTTCTGGAGGCGATGTTCTGGGCGCAGAGCTGCGGATTTGTGGCGGCTCTTGCGGCGGAAGGCTTCTGGCAGGCGCGCGGAGCGCCAAGAAGCCGGCTTTCGTGCTGTTCAGTATGCTTGAATGTGCTTTATGCTCACGGGTGAGTGTCGAAGGACCGCTTTACAGGATGACAGATGTGGGGAGTGCACATGTAGCAACAGCTCATCTCTTCTTGATACTCCTTTGAAGCACTGTGGGCGCAATCGAAAGAACGTCAGAGTGGTACTAACCGTTTCAATTGTGATGCGCTATGAATGAATTCTCGGATTGCCCTGTTGGCCGACATTTGCAGGACACAGAGTAAAACCCAGGTTGAGCCAGTGAATAGTCGACAAGCCGCACGTCGAACATTCCAACATGTTGTCAGGGATTCCAGTCGTGGCCGCCTGTGGCCGCTTTTTGCACCATGCTGGCGTTCTTTGGCCTGCTCTTCATGTTCCTCACCAATGCCGCCTGGCTTGTCTGAGAGCTTCCGAGCTTGGCCCGCGTGAGTGAGTCGGCGCAGGCCCGTTTGCTTCTTTTTTTAATTGGTGTGTTCCTCACAAAGGTCAACCGGCCAAACAAAAATGGTTGCGCGCTCATTGCTACGCAACGGCTTGCCGTGGCAACTAGTGTTGAGGTGCTTTCCCAATTCTCGCGCATGGATATGGCACCGTTGCTGGCGGCTGCCGTCACGGCGGGCCTCTTCTTGCTATGGAGCATGACCTACTTCGAGGCGTTTGCAGATGCGCCGTTGCTCTGGTTCCTGAAGTAGCCTGTCGCTAAGATCCCCAAGGGCAACCTCAGAGGACCCCATGTCCATTTCCATTGGGGACCCCACGTTTTTCCCAGTTGGGATGGGAATGCAAGATGTAAGCGTAACGTACGTGAAGTGCGGTCAACTGATGATGTCATTCAGAGAGGACCTTGAGACACTGACAAACATGTGCCTTGAGAACAACAGCTGACTTTGAATTGGCCTAAAGGCCACATTACCTAGCGTTGCTGAGTGTGTTTGCAAACAGTGCAAACCCGTTTGTGTGATCCCTCATTTTCACATGCAGGGTGGTCAAAATTAGGGGGGAGCCACAAGGTGGCAGCAGGGCCATATGTTTGACAAGACCCACATTGGGCGCGACACCCGAGCTGCCGAGGTACATACTGCAGGTGCAGAATTTGAGGTTGCTCCTTCTGCAGTGGCCCACTTTGCTGGTGGTAGGCGTCATATGTGTGGAGCTACTCTCACAGAAGCTGCTCCATACAAACCCCTCACCGAAGGACGGGGCTTGAAAGGTAATAGAGTGTGACTTGACCTTTTCCGCCAGACCAAAAGGAAACCACCGGTTTAGGGGCGAACCCCAGGAGAGGCACTTTGTCCGGAAGTCGTTTCACGGCCTCGCCATCGTCCTGTTTGCTCCGCCGCTGATGTCAGGGCAGGATGAATTCCTGGCGTTGTCTTTGCTGGTGGCCACATTGCTTTTTATCGCCTTGGAGGCGTTGGGCAAGATTTCAGCAAGCCAGTTGCCTTGAGGGTAAGCAGAAGGAGTTTTGTTTAAACAGAGGTTCAAGCCACAAGGGAGGAAACCAAAGATGCCCCCAAGGAAAATTTAGAAAGGGACGAACCTATTTAGACCTGGTCGGAGGTTGGAAGATGCTGCGGTGCGCCTTTGAGCGATGTTCAGAACAGCTGCTTGGCTCTTTACAGCCGAAGTAGCCATTGAACGTTTCGGACAATGCACCAGAGCCCCCCCAATGGCTATCAAACGGTTTGTGGGGCGACCTTGTTTGGGCTATTGTTGTGGCCATTTGACAGCCATTGGAGGGCTCCTGGCAATTTATATTTTACAGGTTTAACCCTTTAATCTTTTGGTTATCCAACTATTCGAACAGTTTACATGTTTGGTGGGGGGGTCAACCCAGGATACCTGGCAAAGTTCTTGGACAAGAGGGAGGACATCACTCGAGACCTAGTGCTGACACACCTCTATTTACTCTTGGGATGCTCTTTGCCAGTATGGCTGGAGACGTGGCGCCCTCCATCCGCGTCTTCCAACCTTCGCAAATATGCTGGGCGCCTTGGTCTATTTTGACCATGTTTCGCTGACAAGGCCTTCCCGAAAAACACAAGACCCCCCTACCCAGTGGTGGGCATGGGCAAATTGTGTTTCTCAAGGCCGCCCTGTTCGGCCTTTGGTCGTTGCATTCTGCTTCGGGCTTGGTCTGTTGCAAGCGAGTAGTTGATTTAGGGTTAGTCTTGTATTGGTTTGGTGGTTTAGAGGGATCCCTGAACTTGGGTGGAAAAAGACCTGCCTTGTTAGAAAGGGATTGCGGTGGAATGCCCCTAAAGGCGCAATGTACCAAGCTCATCCTTGGCCTTTGGCGCGCGTCGCACAGCTTTTGATTTACATGCAAGTCCTTTCCAGCGGAGTTTCATTTGTTTGACTACCCCGAGATAGACTTCAACCAAGGAGTTTCTCTAGTGGCATCAACCACGCCTGGGTTTAAGTTTGCCTTGGTGCGAAAAACTTGCTGGTGCTCAGTGCTCAGTAGGGAATTCGAATGAGGGAATGAACCCAGGGGTCCCCTTAAAGGAAACCTCCGGTTGGATGGTTCAAATCGGGGTCATTCGAGCTCATTCCCTACCTATCACACCAGCAAGAAAATGGAGACACTGCTTAGGCATTCCAACCCAAGGAGTTTCCCTATTGGCATCCCAACCACGCCTGGGTTTCAGTTTCCCTGTGGTCAAAAGCTTGCTGGTGCCAGTAGGGAATCAGGGAGTTTTGCTGGGTTTCAGTTTGGTGGTCAAAAAAAGATATGGAATCCTAGGCTCTTGCTCATTGGTGTGGGTGATTCCTGTGCTGCGCTTTTCGGCATCCTCTACGGTCGCCTCCGCTGGCCTTCCTCGCATCGCACCTTCGTGGGCTCCACGGCCTTCGCAGTTTCGGTGACCCTCGCTGCAGCGCCAAAATTAACGAAACTTTTTTTTTATGTTTCCTTGGGTTTCCTTTGGGCTGTGGGTTTCCTTGGGTTTCCTTTCAGTTTTGGGTTTCCTTTCTTTTCGGGTTTAGGGTTTCCTTGGGCGTCCTTTCGGGTTTTCTTCGCTTTCCCTTTCAACCAACTTTTTGCTCCAGACCTTAGGCTGCTGCGCCGCTGATGGCCGGGTGGCCCTACTTTGCGCTGGCAACGGCGGCGACAACTCTGCGGCGCAGCTGAAACGTTGAACCTTCCGGGCCATGTGGGCGTGCCCCTTTTTCGAGGGCACCGTTTCCCGCGGGTTGAAGGAAACACCAGGGGGAAATCCAGCATTATGTGCAGATTTTGTGGGCCCCCTAAAAACGAGAAACCCCCTTTTGCTCAGATCCAATGATGGAGTTGGGCGATTCGATATTTGCTTTTTGGGAGACTGGAAGAATGGAATTGGGAACCCCCGCACCCCCTTGGTTCCTGAAGGTAGGGGGAGTTGGTCTGTCCTTACACCTGGTTAGCTTCCATAGTAAAATAGGCAAACTGACATTCTGGGCATCAGCGGCTAGCAGTAAAATCCTCGCGCAGTCATTCAATATTTTCTTTAGCCTGGAGGTGGCATTGACATTTTGAGACAACGAGGGGGGAGTGATGCCGCCCAACTCTACTTCTGAGGCTCGAGGTCTACACCCAAAGCATTGACAACCTGGTGTTGCCACTCTTCTTTTGCGCTGCTTACACGGCGATGCTGCCATGATCGCCATGATCGTATCACTTGAAGGGCACGCTGCACAGACACGCGATGCCGTGCTGGCCAGGCGGGCTCGTCAAGAGGACCGCACCGTGACCACACCTCCAGTTGCAGCCTTTAAGCTAGAGCTGCCTTCCTTGCTGGGGCGTCGAGCATTGCCGCAGCGGGCTGCTGAGCCGCTGGAAGTTGTGTGCGCATGCAGCCCGGAGCAGCAGGCACGCCGAAACAGCCGTGCCATGGTGGACTCTGCGCGGCCAGGGGTTCGGAGATCACGGAGAGCCACCAGCGTCAGCAGTCTGCAGCTGAAGATGCACTTTCAAAGATGCTATCGGGGCCGAGGTGGATGAGGATCGATCAGAACTCGGTCTGAACTTCTTCAAAACCTCAGATTACCTCGCCATCGAGGCCATTTGCTGAGTGCCTACGTCGTTCTGGCTAATTCTGGAAAAAAGTCCACACGCCAAGGAGATGCCAGTCAACATGTTTTCGTCACTACTGCTCATGGAGCTCTAGTACTCCTCACTCAGGGGCTTTTGAGTCTTAATAGGTATATTTCATTTTCCGACTGCATTGTTCTTTGAACCTCTTTTTGTTGGCAGAGCGTCTCAACTCGAGTTCATGTGGTGGCAAGGTATGGAGTGGTTGTGAGCCATTGCCTGGCTTTGAGCATCTGATGGAGAGCATCGAATACCTTGTGTACCTTGGGCAGCACTTGACAAGAGCAAGAACCTCGTTGCACCTGTTTGCAGTCTTCATTGAGGCCAAGAGCAATTTGATCAGGTTGGTTGAAGTCAATCTGGTTTTATTCTGCCAGACGGTAGTCGTGTTGTTTTTGGTTACTCCCGCAGTGAAGTCCAACTACGGAGTAGGATTTGGGATCTACCGGTTTTGCACAGCACGGGAAAGACATTGCGAGTCACATTGAGCTATGCTGGTTGATGGACCGCAAGCTGCCTGGCTGGGAAAATGCGGGTTGCATCCCCAGGTATTTGACCATTGACGAGAAGAGCGGCGACGAGTTCATCCAGGCCAGGATGACGCCTTTCTTGTTTCTTTCAAGCATGGCATTCTTCAGGTAGAACAGCGATATATGGGGGGGGTTCACCCGGAATCGCTGGGTTTTCTTCAATGTCAAGCAACAGCAACACGCAAAGGGTTCCCCCTCCCCCAAGAAACAAACACCACGTGAGTTCCGTTAAAAACCCCCCTAGTAGAGGACTAGTATTGCAGCGACCCAGGTTTTTGACACACGCAGCGAAATGAGGCCGCCCCGCCTCTGAATCAACTTGATAGCGTGGAGCCCGCCAATAGCAAAATAAGTGGGAACGACATCTGAAACGACATCCGAAACGACATCCCAGCGGCAGTAATCCCTTCTTTATACTTTGCGTACTACGCATTTCCTGACAAGTTGCGACTTTCCAGCCGGAGCTGCCGGAGCACACTTCGCGTACTACACTTGTACTGAAAAGTTGCGACTTCTAGGCGGAGCTGCCTACTACGCTTGTACTGAAAAGTTGCGACTTTGCAGCCGGAGTTTGATGGCCGCGTTGCCTGCGCACGCTTGCCCGTGCACGGTTCATGCCGAGCCAGAACGACATCAGAACGACATCAGAACGACATCCACTTGCTTGTCCCGCCCAGCAAATGCAGGTAGTTCCCCAAAGTGTTTTTCCTGTACTACACTTGTACTGAAAAGTTGCGACTTTCAACCGGAGCTGCCAAAGTGTCTTTCCTTTACTACACTTGTGCTGAAAAGTTGCGACATTCGAGCCGGAGCTGCCGAAGTGCATTTCCAAAACTGCACTTGTACGGATAAGTTGCGACTTTCGAGACGGAGCTGCCAAAGTGTAAATTTCCTTTATCAAATACACTTGTACTGAAAAGTTGTGACTTTCGAGCCGATGCTGCCAAAGTGCTGCATTTGCTTTCCTAAATACTCGTACTTGAAAGTTGCGACGTTCGAGCCGGAGCTGCAAAAGTGTACTTCCTTTGCTACACGTGTGCCGACTTTCGAGCCGGAACTGCGAAAAGTGCATTTCCTTTGCTACACTTGTACTGAAAAGTTGCGACTTTCGAGCCGGAGCTGCCGAAGTGTACTTCCTTTACTACACTTGTACTGACAAGTTACGACCTTCGAGCCGGAGCTGCCAAAGTGTGTTTCCTTTACTACACTTGTACTGAAAAGTTGCGACTTTCGAGCCGGAGCTGCCAAAGTGTATCTCCTTTACTACACTGCTACACTGGTGTTGATAAGTTGCGACTTTCGAGCCGGAGCTGCCAAAGTGCGTTTCCTTTACTACACTTGTACTGAAAAGTTGCGACTTTCGAGCCGGAGCTGCCAGAGTGCACTTCCTTTACTACACTCGTGTTGAAAAGTTGTGACTTTCCAGCCGGAGCTGCCAAAGTGCATGTCTCTTACTACACTTGTACTGAAAAGTTGCGACTTTCGAGCCGGAGCTGCCAGAGTGCATTTCCTTTACTTCACTTGCACTGAAAAGTTGCGACTTTCGAGCCGGAGCTGCCAAAGTGTGTCTCCTTTACTACACTTGTACTGAAAAGTTGTGACTTTCAAGACGGAGTTGCCAATGTTTACTTGCGATAGTTGTTGTTGCAAGCGTTGTTTCTTACAAGGATGTCAACAAAATGAGGCCGCCCCGCATGAGACTGACCACATCATATCGTGGTTATAAGGAAAATTAGGGGGGTTTCCAACAGAGCTCACGTGCACAAGCCTGTGCTTGTGCTTGTGTTGCACGCCGCCAGGACGAAGGCACCTTCGATGTAGAGAAGCTGCAGAAACTCGGGGTGGCTGCCTTGAGACATCGGTGTAAGGTGTTCGAAACGCAGGGGAACCGTGGCCATGACCCAAACAAGTGCCAGTGAGAGCTGTAATGACAGACTGGCGGAAAGGCAAGGATTGGCTTGGATATGCTCACAGAAATATGAATGGCAAGAGCTGGCAAGCAGGAACCAGGCGCTTTCCATTTGTTCGACCGAATCAACGAATTTAGCTTGGCGAATGAGGCCAAGCCCGAATGCATGCCGGAATAAGGAGTGCTAGCATGATCAATTAGTTAAACGCGAGAACGCCCAAAGTTGTGGATTGAGCACAGGTCCAACTCACCGACGGCTCATGTGGCCGGCTGGTCCCCTACTATGGAGAGGACAGCCACATGGCTCCAGGAACTAAACAAAACGCAGGTCACGCGATTAGAATGCAGCCCTATGTTGGGATGGGTTTGGGTCAAATTTTTCACAACCGGGGGACCACAGATGTTAGCCGAGGATTCTGCAAAGTCAGTACTGGATTTGGAGACATCCGCACCCGCCAGAGAAGCGCCTTCAACGTGCGACTCGCTTTGTACATGGGTGCTTCTTAGGATTCTTAAGGAGACCCCCAAAAAATGGCTTTCCTTTTTTGGTTTCTCTTCAAGTCACCCTAGAAAGGGTAGCCGCAAAGAAAGACGAGCCTGAATCATGTTGTCTTTTACAGTTGCCAGGAGGGGGAGGATGTGCCAGAGTTCGACTTTGAGCGCTTGTTCACAGATCAGTCTCAGCCTGATCCCCAGATTGGATTGCGAGCCAGACCGGAGTGCTTTGAAGGCCCAAATCCAATGGGAAATCATCCGCCAGCACAACTGCCTCTTTGCTATCGATGTTCCAACAGGCAAGACATGGGTATATGCGCTAAGCATTGCCTCAAGACTCGAAGTCTTCGGCAGCTTGCTACGTTTGTTGAGAGTGCGAACCAGCATGTCTGTCTGAGGAAGAGGCTTTTGGGGAAGTTCCGGCATAAGGAAATCCGGTCGGGGTGGCCCAGCCTTGGCCCGTTCGATCGAATGGGTTCCGAAACAGATTCTTGCCTATGGAATCTGCTCGTGAAAACTGGGTGAGATGTAATGGAGTCGTGCGGATTCTGGATTAGCATTGGGACCCCCCCCTTTGAACAACCCAGTTAGGGTCCTCTAAAACAGGTGCTCAGCCTTCAAATTATTGGCAACTATGTTGAACCAGGACACTGCCACACAAGGCCTTTGTTGCTTTGTATGAAGCGTGCTCAAAGACGCATAGTTTTGCCAAGGGTGTGAGCTCGAATTCGGTTCCAGTTCCTTGTGCGTTTCTTCCGTTTGCCGCAGCAGTTGCCTGCATCGATTTTGGATACCAAGACATCGAGAGGGCCTTACGCCTCAGGACGGTGAGCGCCGAGGGCGACGATGGGTGCGCTCAGCTTTTTGTGTTTGTTGGGGAAGGAGCGGCGGGCTGGGAGCCTCCCTGGTCGGACATGAAAAAGCAACGGGGAAAAACACATCGCGGTATTCGGATTGATGAGTTGGGGAGGGCGAAAAGGGGCCCACAAAAGTTTCCCACACAAAGCAAGGTGTCCTCTTCTTTGACGCCTTTGTGCTTTCGTCTTTATCATTATTTTCCGGGGGTCGCAAGGTGTGGGCTTTGGTGGCCAGTCGCTGCGAATTGCCATGGCCTCAAAGGCACCGAGCTGATGCACCGAAGACTTGCTGCAAGGCCGCCCACTGTCTATGGCTTTGACCTGCTGGTGAGTGGGCAGCTGCCTAAGATGGAAGCACTCACGAAGGAGAACCCATGGAGTAGGGGATAACAATTTCTGGGAGTAGATAGAAATCACATTCATACAGTAGTGCCTTAGTATGGAATGTTTTATGGGCTGACGGGTTCATTTGGGTTTGTCTTAAAGTAAGGGAGCGCTTTTTGGATGGTTTGAAAGCTTAAGGGGATTACAACAGGAAACCAACCACCTGGGGCCCTGATTTTGTTTCAAGGTTTGTGCTCAAGGCCAGACATCGGCTGCAAGTTGTCAGCCCATTTTTAGACGAGCAAAACGGGGTCAAAATGGGCTCGCCATGAAGGCCCGTAGATCCCTTGAGGTTTTGGTATTGCACAATGCGCCGTGATTGTCCAAATTTGGGGACCATGTCCCAAAAGCAAGTCTGGCGGGGTTGCTTTCGCAACCAAAAATGTCTGTTTTG